TGGGTGCACTTTATCATGTATTGCCTGAAGACTTTCCAATCAATGAAGGTCTTCAGGAGGTGGTAGAACTACGGCAAGGGGAAACATGGGATGATCAGCTGCTAGATCAAACTTTCAATGAGGAAACTGCAGAACATATAAGGCTAAATGTGTACTATGAAGGCAGTGAGGGATATTGGGATAAGCCATACTGGATGCCAACTTCTTCAGGCAAGTTCAGTGTTAGCAATGCTTGGCAAATACTAAGGCATAGGGCAGATCCTAATCAGGAATTCAAGTTAATGTGGATTAAAGGTGTGCCATTCAAGATATCCTTCTTCTTCTAGAGATTGTGGAGGCATAAAATAGCCACCGATGACATGTGGAGGAGGCAAGGGCAAATGGTGATGTCTAGGTGTTGGTGTTGTTAGCAGCCCCAAGAGGAATCCATTGAGCATATATTTGTCACAATTCCTACTGCCTCTAAGGTATGGAACTTGTTCATGGGGGCTACTGGAATTTTTGTGCAATTGATTCAATTGAAGCAGATTATAAGGCATTGGTGGTATGCTCAGTGTTGTCCAAAATTAAAGCCACTATTTCAAGCAGTACCAGCTATCATCACGTGGGAGCTGTGGAAGAGAAGAAATGCAGATAAACATGGTGGTTCAATGTTCACAAATAGGGTGATTCATGAGATAAATAGGATATTGCATCAACTGGGAAGGGTGAGGTATGCTTGGATCCCTAATATTCCATTGTTATGGCCAGACATGATTCAATTCTTTGAAGGATATAAACCTATATTGATCACTACAAGAGTAATATGGTAGCTTCCTTGTCATGATTGGTACAAATGTAATACTGATGGAGCTTCAAAGGGTAATCCTGGACCTAGCTCCCTAGGCTTTTGTGTGAGGGATGATGAAGGTGATGTGGTGTATGCTAGGGCAGTAGACATGGGAGTTACAACTAATGTGGTGGCTGAAGCTAAGGCTATTCTTCAAGGGTTGGAATATTGTGTGGAGCATGATTTTCACCCTCTAATACTGGAGACTGATTCATTGGTGATGAAGAAGGCGATAGAAGGGGAATGGGATCCTCCTTGGGTAATTGAGAATAATGTGAAGAAAATTATAGAGATGAAGGACAACTTCAATGTGATCTTTCAACATGTGTTCAGAGAAGGCAACTCAGTGGCGGATTTTATAGCTAACATTATGTTCTCTTTTGCAAGTATATCTGAGTTTCATTCATTCTCTAAACTGCCTAGTGCAGAGCCTAGTGCAGGGAGGAGGTTGATCAATCTAGACAAATCTCAATCACCTAACCTTAGGATTAGGATAGCAAAGAGAAGAACCCCAGACTGATGGCTTCACAAGGTTGGACTCTGAACAAACTGATATGTCCAAATGCTAAGGGAGATGCTGAACCCATCATATGGTAATTTTGGAGATTGTTGAATCATTTCTCAGTGGTATTAGCATGCTTTCAAGCTCAATCTGAGGATGGTTTAGCAATGTTTTGAATGATGTCTACATCAAAGGTTCTAGTAGGGAAGGATCTGAGCTTACAAGATCACAAAAAGGCACAAGTTGGCCTTTACCTTGCAAAGTCTTCTTAAAGCCAGATCATTCCTGGCTTTTGCCTTGTAAAGCCAGCTCATGCCTGGCTTTTTCCTTGTAAAGCCTGGCTAAAGCCAGCTCTTGCCTGGATTTTGCCTTGTAAAGCCTGGCTAAAGCCAGCTCACGCCTGGCCTTTGCCTTGTAAAGCCTGCCTAAAGCCAGCCCACACCTGGCCTTTGGCCTGCAAAGCCTGCCTAAAGCCAGCTCATGCCTGGCTTTTGCCTTGCAAAGCTTGCCTAAAGCCAGCGCATACCTGGCCTTTTCCTTGTAAAGCCTGCCTAAACCCCGCTCAAGCCTGGCTTTTGCCTTGCAAAGCCTGCCTAAAGCCAGGCTCCTCTTCTACACATTAATCTTGATGAGTGAGCACATGATTAATACTTGAACAAAATCAATCCACTGCATATGGAGATAATATAGTAGCGATACTTGGAGGACGATGCGGACTTCAACTCTGTGGTGGAGATGTTTGGAATTAATTTTAGACTATGGACAATATACCCTGGCGCCTGGTGAGAGCTTGATAGATGCTGCTTGGTATTTGCCAATGACAATTGGATTCACATACACTAATAGGAGAAGGAAGCATTCAACTTATCATGTTGTAATAGTTAGTTCATTAGATTTTAACTTTTTTATCCTTTTTAATAGCTAGTAGCTTCATGCAACTTCTATTTTGATTTTTAGTTTGGACATCTTATAAGCATTGGACCCATTTTTGGGATTTTACTTATATATTAGCCCTTAGGCAAAAAAAAAAACAACTATATTGAATAAATAATAAAAAAAAAAGATATGCAAGAATACGTTAATGGACTAGTCTTTAGGAAAACGTCTCTCGAATATTCTCCTAACTTGGCTTAATCAACAATTCATAAAGCTCTCTTGATTACTTAGAAGAATCACTAAATTAAACCAAACCAAATAATGCAAAGATAATCACCAAAATATTCCTCTTTCGATTAAATAAACTGGCGAGTAAAGTTGCAAACAATTCAAAGCTCCATAAATGCAATCACACAATTAAACTAGAGTTAAATCCACAAATATCAATTAAAATACCATATCCCTCGAAGCCCTAGGGAAAGAACTACTCCATAGATATGGAGAAAATCATCACAAATAAGTTTAAGAATATAAAAAACATCAAAGACAACTTTACAATACAAACTCTCATTTTTGCACCGATTGTTGGCAAGAGAATTGATGAAATCTTGTGTCTTTAAGCCGTGGTAGCTCTCCAAAACTCTCCTAGGTCGAATATCCTATAAAAAAAAGTATTTTTACAATGTATTTATATCGAGTATGGATGAACCTTGACTAAAATACTCTCTATGAGCCGAATTAGAATTAACTGGGCGAAAAATTACATTAGTGCGCCGTCCATTGCGACGCACTGCGAGCCGCATTAGTGGAACTTTTCTGAAGCTTAACCAAAAGAACGCACGCTTCCTTGTTCTCGCCAGAAGCCAAAAAATGGGTTATCCCATCGTTTACCAAGGCCTAACACATGATGTGTTAGTGCCACTTTTCAGAGGGGTTGAAACTTTAAGCTTCTAATGCACTTCTGGCTTTTTCTTCTATTATTTTATATGTGCACAGGGTCCTTGACACCTGAACTCGATTCCGACTTAACTCTCAAACTTCTACTCAGATTTCAAAATTCTTTTTTTATTCTCTTTTAGCTCTAAGTCTTGACCCGAAATCTGAACCTATACAACAGAAAATACGCAATGAGTATAAATTGACTATATTTTAGCTTAAACATAATTAAAGTGTATCAAATAATAGGTGCAAAGTAGCCAAAAATTCATATTTCTAGCCTACCATCAGTGATAAATGATGTTATGATGAAATAAGGGAGGATTGCGTGTGTACTGTGGGATCGGGTTGTGCACCGCAACGGATTGTGTATGTTGTACTCATTGTGTTATTGTGTTAGTTTTCAGCCTTTTTATATGATATTTTGAGGTCAGATATTCTGGAGTCTATGTGTGCGAGGATTGAGCTCATTATCATAAATTAACTATTTTACCGTCATTTCCTGTTTCCTTCCCCGTTGTTATTATTATTACTACTACTGTGTAGAGGTTATTTTAGGTGACCCGCCTTAGCCTCGCAACTACTTTGTCGAGGTTAGGCTCGGCACTTACAGAGTACATGGGGTCGGTTACTACACTCTGCACTTCTTGTGCAGATTTTGGAGTCGGTCCTAGCGGCGGTCAGTAGATTGCTCGGATCCGGTGCTTGACGGAGACTTGAGGTACAGGTGCACATCGTTCGCAGCCTTGAAGTCCTCTTCTACATTACTCTAGTTGTTTATTTCGATTCAGACAGTTATGCTTTCATTCAGACTATTAAAATTAGTACTCTAGACGCTCGTGTATTCGTGACACCAGTCTTGGGATTTGTATCTCGATATCGTCGTGCATCAGATTTATCTAATTCATTTAAGTTTATTTAGTTTATTGATTTTCATTTGATTTGAATTATTAAAAATGGTTAATAACTAGTTAGTGAAATGTTAGGCGCCATCAAAATTCCGAGGGTAAGAATTCTGGATCGTGACACGAATCACTAATTGAAGGTGGCATATGTAAATAATGGCGCAATGATATTTTTTCAGAGTTTAATAGGAAAAAAAAGAAAAGAAATGGCCGGTGATATTTTTCTAAGTATCGGTAAGCAGAGTTACTTGATATAGGTAATGGTAAGAGGAGCCAGTATCCGGTAAAATACTTACGACGCAAACAAGGACCGAATAACAAAAGAGTTGGTCATCGAAACAGGAATTTAGCAATACGTACACTTCACTCAACATAATATAATGTAGCTGCCTTGTTTGATGCACACATAAATATCACTTGATAGATTTTGTTTGTTTACTATTTAGTTTTTGACAAAGTGCATGTAGTAGTTATAATTAGGTCTATACTACTAAATATTTCTCATCAAAATTTGAGCTATGGCATTGGCCATTAGAGTGCTTGATCTCTTACGAGTTCTTTCCATAGTCAGTTTCTTGGTTCTTTTACAATTTTTGCAGAAAACCGATGCTCAAGTGCTAATCCCTGAAGTTCCAACATTGATGAAATGCAAGTTTGAGAAAATATATCAGTTGGGTGACTCACTTTCTGATACTGGCAACTTCATTAGAGAGAGCCTCGTTGGAGCTTTTTCTCCCTTTGCAAAACTTCCTTATGGTGAAAACTTTTTCCAGAACAAATCAACTGGACGATGTTCTGATGGTTTGCTCATGATCGATTTCATAGGTACGCATAGGGGTGTCAAATGGGCGGGTTGATTTTAGACGGGTCAAAATAGAATGAGTCAATAAATGGGCGGATCATTGATCAGCCTAAAAGTTTCTTGGACTGAGATGGACTAGGTCAAGAAGAGCTAAAGTTTGACATTATTAATTTCTTGAAGTTGTGTACCGTACGTACACAACTTCAATATTCTCTAGGATTTTCGGTTTTCTTGAAAAGTTAACTGGCCTTGAATTTGGGGTTAATTTCATGCGCTGAACTTTACCCGTTGTATTAGTAAAGTCATAATAAAGTGAAAGATCACTATTTTTATTGATGATTTTTTCTTAGCTGACCTAATAATTGCATTTAGTTATTTAATGTCAATGACTATATGTCACACTTTTTAATGGATATTTGAAGCTATCTTATTATACAGCATTGGAATGTGGTCTTCCTTTCCTAAATCCCTACAAGGATCAGAATGGAAATTTCACACATGGTGCAAATTTCGCAGTAGCAGGAGCTACTGTTTTGCCAGGTGAAATCATGGCTGAGAAGAAGATTTCTAATTCAGTAACCAATAGTTCATTAAATGTGCAACTTGATTGGATGTCTTCTCATTTCAAATCCACTTGCTCTACTGGTAATTATATTTTCGAAATTTTTTTAAAAGGAAACGATATTGTTTGGTCATTCATTAATTACAGAATAGTGTTTTTTGTTTTTACTTATTTATTTTCTTTTGTCTTTGCTAGAATGCTCAGAAGACCTAAAGAAGGCACTTTTCCTGGTTGGAGAAATAGGAGGAAATGAGTTTAATTATGGTTTATTGCAAGGTAAAGCAATGGAGGAACTTAGAGCTATGGTCCCTGAAGTTGTTCAGACCATTATCAATGCTGTTAAAGTATGCTTTCCATTTTCTCTGTTTTTAGTATGTGAAACTCACGAAAGATGTTTGGTTGCCTTCGACAAATATTCACGAGCATCAATATTTATGTCTATTCATCAATATTTGCAGCAAATCAATAAATGCATGATATATGTATTTCGCATAAATTATAACACTTAAAAAGACAGTCCGGTGTACTAAGCTTATATTATGCACAAGGTCCGAAAAAGGGCCGAACCACAAAAATCTATTGGATCCATATGTATATTTTTCATCTCAATTTGAGACTGATGTTTCTC